ACATAGATCAAGTCAGCTGTGTGGTGACTACTGTTCTCCCCCCCCCCCCCCAGCCAGAGACCACAGGAATGGCCTTGCTGCTCCCAGGGAAAGCAGAGGGAGACGCAGTGTGGGTCCCGTTGTGCAAGGGCTGCGTGTGGCCTCAGGCTGATCTATGTGTAGTATGTGTGGGGATCAGTCCGCAGGTGAGGTGCTGCCTTCGTGTTGGGGAAGTGGTCCCAGGACACACTAGAATCCCTTTGCCTACTGTCTTTTCATCAGAACATTGAAGTTATTTAGCCAAGGTCAAGGTAAAACAGTATCCAACTGCATTCGCTGGAAAGAAGCTTGTCGCAGTTTAACCTGTCCCTGGTTGTTGTGGTATAGGCTTTAAACTGTATTCTGTACACATACAGTAATCCAAAATCAAAATCATCCTGACAATTTTAAGTTGAATATAACATTAAAATGAGAGGCTCTAGAAAAGAGCTAGAGTTTTATCTGAATTCTCAATAGAGAATGAAATACCTGATGGACTTGCATTATTGAGTGACGTCTTCATCCTCTGGATACAGAAATATAATGGAGCATAAATAGGAGGAGGTGAATTCAATTTACCTGTCTCATATTGAAATGAAAGCCATGTGGAGCAAGGTAATCAGACTTGGAATAGTCCCAAGTCTGTAGGGTCTTATACAGAAGGACATACAAGAATTTGTACGATGGGGAGATCTGTTAGGTGGCCATTACAGTTTTACCCATGCCCGCGTTTGCTGGGGACTGGCCAGAGCTTATAGTGTGCTAATACCCATCTGAGTTGCCTATGGCACCATACCATTCCCTGTGATGGCAGCCCCAGACATTGTTGATGTGCACCTACATACCGTTCCTTTTCAACTTCGCCTTACAGTGAGTCAGAAGAGGCTGTACAAGGTGACATTTCATCTAAAGCTGCTGCATATGTAGCCTTTGGACTAATCAAAATTGCTGGTGCTTTTTGTGTGACAAAAGAGCACGGCATCCAAGATAAACTGAGAAGAGATGTGGGTATGCAAGCCTTCATTTGAAAAAGGCATCTTTCATCTCGCTGACAGTGAGGTTCCTGCAGTGCTTTGATTGCCCTTTAATTATGCCTGTTTTTCCTGGTTTGTTTGAAAGGCAGATCTTGTTAGAAAAAGGTGCTGTGTGGAAAGAACTTGGCTGCCTCAGCTGCCCTTCCTTGAGGGCACACAGCAGAGCTGCTGGATTTTTTTTTTTTTTTTTTTTTTTTTCTTCTGCACTATTGGAAGATTGTTTCTCGTAGAGTTGGACGTAGGCACGATGCGCTTCTCCCAGGTTAGGTGAGGAGGGGCATGAGTGGTCAGGTGGTTGAAGCAGAATGGGAAGTCATGAGGTCTGGCTTCTTCCCACACTGACTTCCCGCGTGATCCCGGAGGAGGTGCTTTAATCCTTCTGCCTTTGGTCTTCCATCGTGTGTGGCCAGGCTGCTGCTCCTCTGCCACAAAGGCTGCAGGAAACCCAACCTGGTGTTGGGTGGAGGAGGGTTTGTAGCCTGTTGGGGTGTAGGTCACCAGGTGGTGAGTGGGGTTAACAGCTCATACCAGCTCACAGGTTTCATGCTGTTTGGTGTTTTATCTTTAAACTTTGCTGTTGAGGAGCCATTTGTCTCAATGAGAATCTCAGGTTTCATTAATAATAACAAAAAAAGCATGAAGTAATCAACAAAGCAGAAAAGGAAAATAAAGCCTGGCTTTGGTTGGAGAGAAAAGCCCACAAGTATGATTCAAATACAGACTGAAGGCTTAACTGCCAAGCAAGCAAAATAACTTGAGAACAGGTTTCTAATCCTTTTAGAAATCTCAGTTTTGAAGAAAATCTGTGTAACTTTTGAGGGCTTGACTCATGTTTGTAAGTGCTCTGGTTTGACAATACTCTATTTTTAAGTGCTGTCTTTATGTTGAATCTTGGGAGGTGAGATGAAAATTTTTTTTTTTTTTTTAAAAAGTAACAACAAATCTTAATATAGCTGAGAATGCGGAACTGCCCTTAGAAAAATAGGTTGGACACATGAAAAGGAATCTTGCTCAGCAGGCTGAAGACGCAGAGCAACTTCTGCGGTTACGTTTTTCTTTCTTCTGGCAATTTTGGGGTGGGGATGTAGCTGGCACAGTCACTTGGCCTTATTTCTTTTCGAATGCAAGTCAAATCTTCCTGAACAAAAGCACCTGGCTTGAAACTGTTTAACCCAAACTGGAAAAGCTGTTTGATAAAACTTCTTTTTTTTTTTTGTGCGCAACTTGAGGCAACCTGAAGTTGCTCAAAAATAGAAGTTACAGGTGGGTAAGGAGTAGAATATGATCCTTTTGAACTGATATGGCTTTGTACGAACTGAAGACAGGCTGCCTCTCTTGCTTCAGAGAGATGATTAGGTTTTAGTTGTCATCTCCTGCCCAGAGTCACAAAGACTTAAATGGCATGAAAATGAAGTCAGCTGCTTAAAGCTAAAGCTAATCAAATGAGGAGACTCCAAAGTAGGAGGATAATCTTTGTCATCTGACAGGCAATCCCAAATTCCCATGGGATACCCATGCAGTTCTGCTGCTGTAGCATGTGCCTGTTGTGCTGAGACCAACGCTTCTGCCTTCAGCCCACTGTGATGCGTGGGCTTTGTGTGGCTGCTAAGCCATGAAAACTGAAAACGTGGACCTGAATTATCCCGTAAAGAAGTGACACTGCTTGTTAAGGAGCTGCTGGCTGATGCTGCACACTGAGTCTGCTGCTGTCCAGCTGTGTGAAACTCAAATGAGGGATTGTAAAGAAATTTTGAGGCTGTGGTGGACCTGCTGACATGGCTGCTTGGGCATGTTTTCTTGAGGAATGCAGTCATTTCTTCATACAGATCTGAGTTTTGTGTGTGAATATTCAGTATGGGTAAATAGATTTAAAATTAAGATTTAAAATGTAAAACTATGCAAACACCAGAGATCAGGTTCTTTTTTAAAAACAAAACCTCTGCTCACGGAACACAATTATTTAGGATGTGCATACATCTGATTACCTAGCTCCGAAGTGGGTGAAAGCCACTTCAGACTCCTTGAAGCTTTCCCCTGGGGTGTGCCAGCGCTGTAAGCAACATGCCCTTGTAAAGCTGAAGGGAGCAAAAAGGGGAGGAGGTGGATAAAAGCTGACAGAGCTGTCATTTGGGTTAGTCTGGGGAAGACTGAGAAGAGGTTATTTTAAAATCATTTTCCTGGCTGCAATTTGGGATATATTTAACGCTTTCAAATAAAAAAAAAAAAAAAATCACCTTGGTAGAAGGTGGGTTTGGGATGCTAAGACACAGGCTGGAAGGCGAGCGGGCGTTGGGCGCGGGCTCACCTTCGGCGCTGCTGCCCCTGCGTCTTGTCCTGCCTTGGGCCACTGCAGAGCCAGCAGCACAGGTTGGGCTGGGGCTGGGGCTCTGCCAGCACGCCGTGCTCTGCTGCTCTGGGGAAACCAGGGCTCACCGGGGCTGCAAGAAGTTGCATGTGAATCTCCAACATTCAGACAAGTTATTATGAGAGAAGACGCTTATCTGTGCTATTCCTCCCCTCTTCGTGCTTTTTATACTACTGTTATATGTGGGGAAAAATAAAAAAAGAGAGTTTATATGCCTAATCTGCTGATAGTTATTACATTTCCCTTTCCCTGCTTTTGTTAAAATCAGGAAAGGGTGTTGCAAAACCTCTGCGAAGAAGCCCATGATAAGCACTTTGCAAAACCACAGATCCAACCCAAACCCATAAGTTTTTCAAAACCTGCCTTTGGACTTTGCAACACCGGGATGGCTCCGGGAGGTGGCACTAACTCACTGCATAGACTGTCAAATGGGTGCTTTGTGGTAGTAGCACAGTAAGCAAGCGATCGGGGTAGTGGGATAGTATTCCTGCAAAGTCTGTCTCAAAGTGCTTCTGGCTTTCAAGGCTTTGATTGTTTTTTAAAGCAGTGGGTTCCCATCCTTGATTTTTGAGTCAGAGAGGAGAGGAGCCATTGTAGGTCTAGGTAGCTTGTAAATTCCTGGTAATTAATTGTTGCAGCTTCTTCTGAGAGATGCCAATAATGAGGATTGTGTCTGGAGAAAAGCCTGGCACGTGGCAAGTCGGTGTTCTGGACACAAAGTACTCTGGTCTACCTGTTCATATCCACACAAGGATATTTCTTCCTTCTGTTAAGCAGCACTGGACTTGTTCTCTGGTTGTGGAATGTGGGTTGTTTTTTTTGGCTGTTATGAAAATGAAATCAGATATGTTCAAAATCACTCTTAATTAATTTTCTCCATAATTTGATTTTTTTTATTAGAATAATGAAAATATTATTCTTTCCCTTTTAATCTGAACATTAAGAGAGTATTGTAGGTCTTACTGGGGAATATTTAAAATAGCAAAATAGTGTTCATATTTAAGTGTAAATCCCAGCAACTATTTCACTGAAAGAAACTATTTCACTGAAATAATGACGTTATTCCTGTGCTTAAAGATAACATGTTCTCTATTTTTTAAAAGCTTTTAACATCACTTGCCAAAAAAACAGAAAAATCCCAAGTAGTTTCAAGTGTAAGCTGTGCGCAGAGCAGCTTATGTAAAACTCATAGAAAGCTTTGTTTTAACTTGCCCAAAGCAACAGAAATTTCTCAAAGCATGGTTGTGTTCTTACCAAGATGGTTGAGCAGTGAGGATTGGGTATAGGAAGATGACTGTTGTTGAAAGTTTGATGATGACATTTGGGATCTCTTAGGTGGAAATATCTGGCAAGGGTGGGTGGAGTCTTCATAAAGTTTGGAGTGGCTTTGTCCCCTGTAATAGCTTATATAAAGAATTAAGGATGCTGTACTGCTTACCTGATCTCTCAGAAGAAAGGAGGTCCTGTTTGTAGTGGCAAGGACCAGCATTTAGATCTTGGCACTCACCGAGTTGTCCCTTGCTCAGTGGCCAGCCAGGTGCCAGTGTGTCACTATTGATGGGTGCTGCTTTCCTCTTCTGCAGGTTTTCATTTCTGTGAACTGCCTCAGCACGGATTTCTCCTCTCAGAAGGGAGTCAAAGGCCTGCCCCTCAATCTTCAGATTGATACCTACAGCTACAATAACAGGAGTAACAAACCTGTCCACAGAGCCTACTGCCAGATTAAAGTCTTCTGTGACAAGGTGAGGTTGGGTCAATATGCCCATGACCCTTTGGGGAAGGGCTGTTCCACAGCTTAGCTTTTTCTTTTGTTTTTCCTCTCCTAAGTCTGCCATTTGTTATTTTGGCTCACTGAAAACTCCCATCTGTGTTCAGTCTTTGCAAGGAAAAAATTTCAACCCCTTCTGCTTTGGCTCATAGATATTATGATAACCTCAGATAAACTTGCTGATCTCGGAACACTGGAGTGCTGAGAAGGGTTCCTGAGCATTGGCTTTGGAGAAAGGTCAGTCAGTGGCAGAAGACTGGTTGTCAGTACTCCAGACCCTGGAAGGTCCTGCAGAGGGCATTCAGTGGCAGAAATCATTGCAGTTGATTGGAGCAAGTGGAGGCTTGTCTTTTTGCCCAAACTTTGTCATGTTGGTCCTTTTAAATGTCTTTGTGGACTCTTACTGTGTTTGTATTAAAAAAACAAAAACAAAACAAAACAAAAAAATTTACATATCTTGCCAAGAAAAAGTGTTGCTGTTTTCATTGTACTGCTGCGAGATACAGCAGTATAACAAAGCCCTATTCCAGTCTTGACGGGTGCTGTAATTTGGCTGCTCTGCCTAATGCATTTAGCACACAGAGAATTAACACCCTTCCCAAAGCCACTGTTCACCAGAAGCTGTGAAAGAAATGTAGCAGGAGCTGAGGTGAAAGCAGTTGTAAAAGCTTAACTGAGTTTGCAAAGAAAGGAAGTTTCCCAACCTTTGTAACCTTTTCCTGCCCGAACAGTCTCTTGAAGTACCAAAGCAAGTAATGTGCAATGTTGCTATTTCCAGAGTGACCAAGATCTTTCAAGGCTGGGATAAATGCCGCCTGGTCTTCCCCAGTCCTTCTTTTGATTGCTGTGAACCACACCGACTCCCTATTTAGTTAGCATCCTACTTGCTTAGGACCTCTCACTCTTTGCATCCAGACTCTGCCTTCATAGCACAGGCGCTTTGCGAGTGATATCTCAAATACCTCCCAGCAGCTGGAGGTCTGAGACAGGCTTGTGACCCCCCACCCTTGAGTCCTGCGCTAGCTTCGCCCCCGTCACCTGCTCTGTGGTTTTGCATTGTCATTCCCCAGGACACTGCTGCAAAGGTTCATTTCGCACGCCGTTGATCTGCCTCCACTTACCTTCTAAAATATACGGAGCCTTCTGCAGCCTGCCTCTGCTGTAGCATCCCATTGACTCATCCTGCTGCATTTTACTGTCCATCTATAGGCTTCTGAATAGGCCCCTCTGCTTTCCTGCATGGTTGGGAGAAGCTGCCTGCCAGTGTAAAGCTATTTAGTCATCTTCTTTCAAGTGCCTCCTGAGGTGGCTCCTGTTGTGATGATTTCTGCAAAGGGTTTACCAGGGAGCTAATGAATGCTCTCCAGAGCTATCTTAGACTTGCCAGTAAGCTGAAGAGGCTTGGGTCTCATGGGCTTTTTTTCCAGGACTGTTTTTGTTCCTTTTTTTTTTTTTTTTTCTTTTTCCTCTAAAATGAGACCAAGGGAATTGTGTCATCTAAAGCTCTTTCATTATCTGACAGTCTTGTGTGTTATCAACCTGTATTCTCTACAATACTAGTGAGTACAGACTTGCTTCAGGGAAGGGGGAGATCTTTTACTCTCATCAGTTGTCCAGTCAATTACTGACACCGTGCTAAGATTACCGACAGGCTTGTGCTATTGCTAAGGCGACAGAATGGCTAATAAAAAGGCAGATGTATAGCCAGTACATAGCTTAAAAGAAATCATTTGAGTCTATACCATAAATTTCAGCAAATCTATTAGTACAGTAATGGCAGTATAACTTTTCCTTTGGGATTTTGACCTTTGCTCCTGCTTTATTCCTCCAGATACTTTGCAAAAGTTAAAAGGAGAGAAGGAGAAAAGATTACTTTTCTGTATTGAATCTCACTGTTGTTTATTCTATGAACATGTAGCCAATGTGAGGTTAGTGCCTGATGATTCTGCAATTTTTATTTATAGAGATGGTGTTGAAGTTTGCCTTTCAGATCTGGGCCGGGTCTGGCAGTGAGAGCTGGAGACAGAGGCCGACAAGCTGGATACTGTTTGTCACCACGTAGAATCAAACTGTACTCAGTCGCTTGTTTGAGGCACTGAGCAAGTGCTCCTGTGAGCAGACCTGTGTCCTTACAGCTGCAGGTACTGACTCATAGACCCCAACGCTGGCCCCTTTTTCCAGGCTTTTCTAGGAGCACTGACATTTCGGAAGGAGCAACCGTATTTTCTGCCCTGCTTTGACTCTTGGGTAATCACTCAGCTGGTCTTGAATGTTTACAGGACCATTGTTACTATAGTATCCACACATATTGCAATCCTTTAATGTGTTTGTCCTCGTGTGGCCACCCTTACCTGGAGAAATGCTGTTATTCATGTTTACCTCTTGGAGGGCCAAGTCTCTAGTGTGGAGGTCCGTTGGAACAAACGGCACAAAATGATGATGCTGTGGCCACCTAACAGGAACAGCTCTGTGTCAGTCCCCTCTATTCCTTTGTTTAGGCTGTGCTTGCATTGCATGCCTGAACTGACTTTGAACCCAGACACTGGCATAGCAGTCCTGCCATCTTTTTTTGTGCGTGCAAATAGATAGATATCCTACAGAAGGTCCAACAGTTTAGTTAATGTTGTGTGGTGGCCTTTGCATGAGAAAGAAGTGAAGCAGGAGGGTTCCCATGGTTGGAGTCAAAGGGAAAGCTGCTGATACTTGTTTTCTAGTTTTTGGCTGCTGCCTCTGCGACCAAGTTTCTTCATGCGTTTGTCTTCCCCTTCATGCTTTCTCTGTGGAAAGGGAGTCCACAGCTGCCCAGGATATTTGGTTTTCATCTCATACTATGTTTATTTCAAAACCTGAGTAAAAGCATGGGTGTAATGGTGTGATCCTGTGGCATGTTACAGCACAAGCTTTGTTCAGGCTTAGCCCAGCAATATTTGGGCTGTGCGGGGGTTGAGGTGACCTGTCCCAGAGGAAGAGGACCTCCTCTGCTGTTAATGGTACTTCAGCTAAGCATCCACAGGGGGAAGATTAAATACAAGATTTCGCAAGCTATAGCGAGTGGTGTCCACTGGGACTTGCTGTTACCCTTGTAGTGATGGGCAGTGCTGTGGGGAAGGCTTTATGGCATGGTGGGAATAAGGACGTGTGAGATCCTGTTGAAAGGAGAGAGATGATGCAGGGCAGCTGGAGGCATCATTGATGTGGATGGGCAGCAACACTAAGATCATTCCTTCTGTTGCATGATCACAGGATTGTTTGGGTGGGAAGGGACCCGTAAAGCTCATCCAGTCCCAACCCCCCTGCCATGAGCAGGGATACCTTCCACTAGACCAGGTTGCTCACAGCCCTGTCCAACCTGGCCATGAACCCTTCCAGGGAGGGGGCAGCCACAGCTTCTCTGGGCACCCTGTGCCCCTGCCTCACCACCCTCACAGTAGAGAATTTCTTCCTTATGTCCAATATAAATCTACCGTCTTTCAGTTTAAAACCATTTCCCCTTGTCCTGTCACTGCAGGCCTTAGTAAAAAGTCTCTCCATCTTTCTCATAAGCCCCTCTTACATACTGAAAGGCTGCAAAAAGACTCCCCAGAGCCTCCTCCAGGCTGAACAACCCCAACTCAATCATCCTGTGTTCATAGCAGAGGTGCTCCAGCTCCCTGATCATCTTCATGACTTCCTCTGAACTTGCTCCAGGAGGCCCATGTCCTTCTTACGTTGGGGGCCCCAGAGCTGGACACAGCACTGCGGGTGGGGTCTCAGGAGAGTGGAGCAGAGGGACATAGTTACCTCCCTCAACCTGCTGGTCACACTGCTTTTGATGTAACCCAGGACACAATTGGCTTTCTGGGCTGCAAGTACATACTGCTGGCTTGGGTCTAATTTTTTGTCCACCAGTATCCCATGGCAGCTCTGCCACTGGGTCTACAGGGCAGAAGAGCTCTGTGCCAGAGCTGCACCCAGCACGAGAGGGAGCGAGGAGCAGCCCTCTGCCTTTGGAGCACATCTGGCTGATGCAGCACATGTGCAGAAGGAGGGAGTCCCGTGGTGTCATGAAGGACCCCAGGGTGTTGTGACTTGACGTCTCATCCTCTCCCTGCATCTCTATTGCTGAGCAAATACATCACATTTCTCTGAGTGAGGGAGGCATGTCAGCTCTCCCCGAAATGCCACTCTCAGCCCAAGAATCCATTACGCGCCTGGAAACTTCAAGGGAAAGAACAATATAAAAAAAAAAAACCCTGCAGCTTTTAACACATACCTGAGAGTATGAAATCTTGCTTTTGAGACTGTAGACTGTTCTCTAGGTGATGAAGTTGGGAAAACCTCTTCCTTACAAGCTTATTTATTCCCTAATTGCATAATACAGGATTCCCAGTGTCTTTTCTTCAAAAGTGTCTGCTCCTGGTTGTCGGTGAGCTCTGCTGGCAAGGCAGAAAAGCCTGTTACCAAGACATGGCTTTGATTTTTTTTTTTTTTTTATGTGGGGTTTGAGATGTGTTTACCTGGGCCCCTGTAGCCTGGAACAAGTTGGCTTTCAAGCTGAACTCTGGCTGTAGGTATGGGAGGACAGGTGTTTTCTTAAAACATGTGCTTTTGATGGATTAGCCCATTCTCCAGGAGGAAGCAGGTACTGTTCTCTGTAGCACAGTGTTTGAGTAGCAGAACTCCATTGTTCCCATGTGAAAGGTAGAAGAGAGGGCTGGAGCCAAATCTGATCTGTCTGCTGTCAGGCTGAGATGTTGTGACTGTTCTGGTAAAGGAAGTTGCAGAGGGATGTGGCTCCAGCTGTGCTGAGGTTACGGTGGGATGTCTATACTGTAGTAGGCTGTATCAGCTTTACAGAGTTGAGCAAAGCTGGCAATGGTTGTGTCCTCATTAGTGATTTTTTTCTCTTTTTCCCAGCAGCTACCTGAAGCTGCTTGTGTCCCTTCTGTTAGGTGGGAGCAAATGTGATATATGTTAATACACATTAAATATCTAGACTAATTTTCCTTTTTATTGCTAGTGCAGACATCCCCACTGGTACCTAGCAGGCATAGGCATCCTCTGACCTGTAGGGTATTGATTTACTGTGAGGTTGGGAGGGCTGTTGCCCTTTTACCATGCTGTGTGTTAGGCACCGTTGCCCACCCCATCACCACATGCTTTTTGACATCTCATTTGCCATAATTAATCTAGTCTTCCTCCAGCACTGTATATGGATGTGAGTGTATTTTGGCAGCTTTGCAAGCGTAGCAATGAGAAGCAATGGCTTCTTGTGGCCCAGGTAACTGTTACTTCTTACCCTGTTTTGCAGGAGGGTTTTGGGAGACAGGTAGAACTTGTGTATACCAGTTGGGGCAGTGATCTGGTGGTAACACCAGGATTGACTTGGGGTTCTACTGTGGGCTTATCAACTTATGCAACTGGCAATGTGACATCCCTGCCTTAACCCACAGTCACGTGGGAGGTCTGGGCAGAGCTGGAGGAATGAACATGATTCCATTACAAACCTTCTTCCTTCCTTCTCTCTCTGTCATAGCTGCCTGCATCTTGCAGAAAATATAGTTCTCTACCCCCTGCTGCTTGGTTTGGAGGGCCAGGAACTGTGGCAAGAACCTGGCTAAGTATCTGTGGATTCACCCATAGCCTGGCCCCAATAAAAAGAGAAGCAGTCATGCCTACTTTACAAGTAGGTGTGTCTTCGTCTTGAGATCAATTAAGGACGGTATAACTGCTGCTGGACCCTTGTGCAACATGGAGGTATCTTGCACTTGGTGATGATGAAGTGTGGCTTGATTTTTATAGATCAGGATCTAATGAACTCTTAACTGAGGAAACTTGCAAATTTTGATTGTTTTAAACACTTCAGATATATTTTATCTCACACTTCGTACAGTTACCATAGTTGTGGGTCTCTTTTGTCATCATATCCCCATCTGACTTGAAAGAAAAGCAGGTGTTTGCATCTTGGATATGGTTACTGGATTTCATTAGATGACAGGACTTGGAAGTAAACAGTGGGAAGATCTCAAAGTTGGCACACTGGCAGACCTGCAGCTCAGGTACCATGGAGCTGACCTCCACAAACACAGCTCTGGAAGAATCTGTGTTCCTGCTTCTGCAACTGGAAAAAACAAAAAAATTAAAACAACCTTCTCTCTCTCCCCCTCTCCTCCTTCCCCTTAATATCTTGTCTGGCAGGGAGCAGAGAGGAAGATCAGGGATGAAGAACGAAAGCAAAGCAAAAGAAAAGGCAAGTGCACTGACCCCAGCTCTCAGTTGAATGCCTGTAAGTAGAAATTACTATATTGGTATTTTAAATGTCAGATCTCATTTGGGTTACAAATAAATTGTGCAGTAGATCTCGAAGTAATTTTTTATTCCCTATGGAATAGTGTTTATTTTAAGCAGTTGCTTATGGAGCCATTAATTGTGTTTTGCAATGTGCTGAGTCACTTAGGACTTCGCTTCTACCTAGTTCTTCATTTCCAAGACAGGATCCTGCTATGTTTTCAATTAGGTATGGTCTTTAGTTGTTGGAATGTTAGGGTGAGTGTGTGACTTTTGGACACTGCTGGAGCCCTTGCAGCATTGTGTGGCAAGAAGTACTGGAGCTGTTCCAAGTGTTTCTGGCTTGATCCTAAACTTAGGTTTTAATTTATGTTAAAAATGTGTTTGTAACTGTACATCAAGGTGGTGGTAGCCTTGGGACTGAGCCTGCAGCCTCCCAGCCTCACCCCTTCTAGAGTAAAGTGGTCCTTATAATAAATAATATCAATAATCATTTCAACAGAAGGTAAATAATTTCAATAGAAGTTGTGAAGGGCTCAGCACTGGTAGTACATAAAGATTGTGGAACTTCTTTATGCTGAGCATCTTCCCTTTAACTGCTGCAGATGACTGCAACAGATCCTGTGTTTGGATGACTGGTTATTCACCAGCAGGGCTGCCTAGAGGAAAATGTATCTCCCTGTTCTTCCTCTGCACAGGGCAGGTGTGCATGCTCCCTGGCTCTGCTCAGTGTGCTATTAACAGTCCAACTGGTTCAACAGGCATGCACCTCACGGCTTGCTGGGCAGGATTTTCCTGACGCAGCAGGTACAGGCTGCTGGAGCAGCTTCAGAAGAAGATTATGCTCCAAGGGAACCCACTTGCTCAAGGGCAGTTGCAGAAAGGGCTGGGGTTTTGTTTTTTTTCCCAGAGTACATGGTAAAAGGTAGGTTTAGCACACTGTTAGTGTTCCACAAATGTAATAACCCGGACAGCTCGCAGAAGACTACTGCATGCAGCCCTTTGCATAATAGCTGGAAAGTGCAAACAGTTTCACTACAGATTTCCACGACTGTATGATTTTATGAAAGTTGCTTTCCAGTGTGAATTTCCTAGGCTTGGGCTTAGCCTGATGTGGCCTTTATTTTCCTGGAAAGTACAGTCCCTTGCTGTTTAGTTCTTGTGTGGGAAATTTTTGATTGCTTTAAGCCGTAGCCTGTTACACCCACCTCCAGGATCACAAATGCCATGTGTTCATGGACTCAACAGCAGAAATAGTTCTTGACTTCTGGACAAAGTTATTTTCTACAAGGATTGAGCAATCTTTGAAAAATCTGTTTTGAAAAAAAAAAAAAAAAAAAAAATCGTTTTCCACTAAGAACATGAGAAGTGTTTTGCTTGCAGTTGGTTTGACCCAAAATTGAAATGTTTCCACTTGGTAAAATGAGTGGAGGTCTTCAGCCAGTGTCAGTTTGATATGAACATGTCTGAAGTGCAGTTTAAGGCACCTTCTGGCTCACTGTCTCCCAAACGGGTTTGTGTGGGTGAAGTCTGTCCACTTAGTGACTTGCGTCATGTCAGTTGGTGTGTCACGAGAGCCAGAGTGCTCTGTGGGACAGTGCTGGTTCCGGTGGGGGGATGAACTGGAGTCTGTCAGCTTGAGGTGATCAGGATGAACAAAAATACAAAATTTGAAAGTGTGGAATTGAAATGTAACTCTAAATGCAGCATCTTGCAAGAAACAGTATTTGTACCACCTCTGTAGTGTGGTGGTGCTGTCTCTGAGAGGTTCCCAACTGAAACCATGTTGGTTGCAGGTTCTCTGCCTTATTTTTGCCTTCCTGGTATGGGAAATCAAGGAAGCTTTTGAGGGAATGGACAGAGAGAAGAGGGGACTTGGACTAGCTTTTGTCCTCTAGATGGTTTGCTTTGGTACATGGCAGACCAGTGTTCCTCCATTGGGATGAGTGGCCAGACCATTGTCCAGCCCAGTTTAATATCGGAACAAAGTCAAGCAGCTCACTTGGAGAGGTGGAGCAAACTCCTACTCCTCTGTGAAATGAGCTGTTTCCTCAGGGTCTAGGTCCTCATCTGAGAGGTAGACAGCCCAGCTTCATACCACAGGAGCTTCTCCCTTTGACCCTGACTACACAGAACCCTTGCTCAACAGTGTATGTGCCTCTTAAATGATGTAGGAAAGCCCCAGCCCCATCAGCATCTTCACTGTCCTCTCTTCCAATCTTTGGTGTCTCTGCAGTTTCTGATGTCAAAGTGCCAATGCTTCCCTCTCACAAACGTACAGACATCACCATCTTCAAGCCCTTCATGGATCTAGACACTCAGCCAGTCCTTTTCATTCCTGATGTTCACTTTGCAAATCTTCAGCGTGGTGCTCACGTAAGTAAAGCTCATGGGTGTGGGTATGAGGAGGGCTGTGGGATGTATCTGCAAAAAGCCTAGGATGCTCTATGGATGTATGTATATACATACGATGTGCCAGAATATGTGCACTGATGCTCTAAACAAATACAGGCTGAATTTCATGCGAGCAAGGGACATTGCTCCTAGTCACACTTGCTGGAGTTAACTGGGGATGTCTTACGAATAAATTACTTACCCATGTACTCCCACTTCCATGAACCTGAAATGATATTTCGAAAGCATCTCCAGCTTTGACAGTTCATTAAATTTCTCTTGTAAAATCAGTTGGGATCCAGGTGCACTGCTGTAGCCCTCTGGTTCCTCCAGCCCGCTGCTGCAGGGTGAAAAGCCGTTCTGTGGAACTGGCAAGTGTGTCAGCTCTGTGATCTGCTGCCAGAGCGCCCTGCCTCAGCATTCCTGGAAAGTCCCAGCTGACAGGAAGCTGGAAGGGAAAAAATTAAGAGTGCAACCAAGTTTCAAAATCTTGAACTTTCCTGTGCTGGGAGTTCTGGCATGCTCTAACAGAATCTGAACCTTACTTTTTAAGAGCATTGCCTAAACTCCTAATGAATGGAGAATAAACTTTTGTCTGTAAGGCTGACTTTTCCACGTGTTTTACTATGAAGGCTCTAGTACTGAGCTCTGTCAGAAGACTATACTCCAGTCCAGACAGAAAGCTGGTTAGCTCTTGTATGTTCCTGTCCCTCCCATTTAAGATCATTTTAATTTCTCTTTTTGAAAAGAGGTGAAGATGATTCTGACTGACATTTGGAAAACTGAGCAAAAGCGTCTTTTGATACAGGGTTGAAAGATAAGAGAAAATGAATTCTAGTTCTGGATAGAATTTTCACAACTCTAAGCACAAGTATTATTTGTGTATTAAAATGAAGGTCCGTGTTTGTTGCTTGGACCAAAATATCCTTCTTCTAGCAGCGTAGTCGTGGCTGGCTCCCCACTTGACAGCCTTGTTCTCCCCTGATGCACTATACTGATGTGCTTACGAGTGAGTTGGGTGGGTGAGCCATCTGCCTGTCCCCTCCAGCTCCTGCCATGGGCTCAGGGGTTCCCTCTCCTGTAACTTGAGGCTGTTGGACCTCTGCTCATGCTGGATGCAGCAGAATTGTTGTTCCGTGCCAGTGACTCTCTAATGCAATTAGACTTAGCTATTGCTAAGTCGCTGTTAACAGATAGCACTTAAAGGGGTGGGGAGAGCATTGCTGAGAAGACCATGTTACACCAGCTAATGGGTCTGTCCTTATGCAACTTTGTTTTGTAGCTTTCAGAGCCCTTTGTAGTGTTCTCCAAGGACTGAGTACCACATGAGGTTCTCGCTAGCTAGCTAATGCAGCATGTGTTTTTCTGCCTATGTCAAGAAAATCTCCCCTTTGTTTTAAAAGGTCCTTCCTGTTGCTTCAGAAGAACTGGAGGGTGAAAGGTAAGAGCTGCACTACTTCAGCCTACTGAAGTCTTGCCCTCAGACAGAGGGGCAAGTCCCTGTAATTGTACCTCTGCTAACTTTTTGCCCTGTCAATGACAGCTCCAGCCTGAAGAGAGGAGCCTATATTGGTGAAGAGGACTTTATTGCCACTCCGAATAAGATGTCCAGAATAGAAGAGCCAAAAAGAGGTATTATTTTTGTCTTTCAGAGACTGAATTATTTGAGTATTTGTCCATCTTGATGGAGAAATGCATCTGAGGTTAAGGAGTTGTTTTAATTTATTTTGGGGTATACTTTAGCCTGATTTTTCTGGCTTTGAATAGTAATAGAAAGAGTTTGTGTATCGCAATGTAGTTCAGCACTGCAAATCTTTTACAGTGTCAGAATTTCTGGGTTTTTCTGCCAACTCAGACACTAATTGACTCTGAACCTGTAGGGAAAGAGACTCAGAGGAGGTAAGCTGCTTACCAATCTCCTTGATGGATTGGGAGAGAGAATTCTTCATGTAATCCACTACAAAATACTTTGGAGATCTTCTCTAGGACTTCAAGCAATGGATGCCAAGAACTGGTCTTGGGTATAAAATCATTGCATCTTTCATAGTGCTGGAAAATGAGCTGTTCACTGCTGAAAGCCAAACTGAGGGAATAGTCTGCTTATTTTTAACCTGTTGTCAACCTGTGCAATTTGATGTGGGGTTGGATGTTGCTGTGGTGGTGTGGAAGATGAGAGGTCCCTTTGGAGATGTAGAGGATTACCTGCCTGATGACAGTTGTGTGTGGAAGGGCCACGATAAAGCTTAAAGGATTAAAAGAACAACATTAAACTTGTGGTGTGGATAGGGTTAAGTCTAGCAAGTCTGACGTTAATGGGGCTGAACTTCTGTATTCTAGATACACTATTAAGGAAGGATGGATTTTATAAAAGGAAATTAGAGTTCTTGTTTTTTCTTGTTGCTGTGTGCCATAAAATGACAGCCATTCTCTGTCCTCTGGCTGGTGTGTCATCTGACCTGTGCAGTAACTGAGCGTGTGTGCTGTCTTCATTTTTTAAATCTATAGTCTTCCTTTTAGCAGATGAAATCCATCAAGATGCTGTGCTGTCCTCACTTCACCTTGTTCACTTCGATATGCCAGTAATTGTTCTGTGTTGCAGGTGTGTCAAAGCTGAGGCTGATGAACCCTTGTAAACAATCCAGGCTGCAATACCTAGTCATTAGAAAATGGATTAAAGACAGCAAAGCTGTTAAAGTCTAAGCTTTCTTGCTCTTATGGCTTATTCCTCAGCCTTAATGCAGTTTTTAATGAGGCTGATGTTACATACAATGACTCTCTGCTAGCTTGAGAATGCTAGGGATGCTTACCTAATTGGGTTCCTTATAATTTTGTTCCCCTCCTAGCAGGAGACGAAGTCTGCATTGTGTCAGCTAGGGTGGTATGAGTATTGCTGAAACATGGCAAGGGGTAGGAAGAGAGATGAGACAGTGTAGGAGGAGCAGAGGACTGTACAAATAAATTATTTTAAAACTAGGAGGCAGCTAGGATGGCTTCATCTGCTGTGGTAGCATCTGTAAGTCACTTCATTGTGCAGTCATATGGCAGGTGACCTGTGAGGTGGGTACCCAGGAGTCTCAAAGCTGTGTTTTGCATTCCACCTTTCTGTCTGCTGTGGTTTAACCCCAGCCAGCAACTAAGCACCATGGAGTCTCTTTCCCACTCCCTGCTTAAGGTGGGATGGGGAGAAGAATTGGGGGAAAAATGAGTAAAACTCGTGGGTTGAGATAAGAACAATTTAATAATTGAAATAAAATAAAATGTAACAATAGCTGTCATTAAAAGGAAGATAACAAAAAGAGAGCACAAGAAGAACAAAACCAAGTGATGCACAAGGCAGTCGCTCCCCACCCGCTGACCGATGCCCAGCCAGCCCCCGAGCAGCGATTGCCCCCCCCAGCCAGCTCCCCCAGTTTCTATACTGAGCACGACGGCCCGTGGTGTGGAATATCCCTTTGGCTAGTTGGGGTCAGCTGTCCTGGCCGTGCTCCCTCCCAGCTCCTTGTGCACCTCCTCGCTGGCAGAGCATGGGAAACTGAGAAGTCCTTGACTTAGGATAAGCACTACTCAGCAACAACTAAAACATCAGTGTGTTATCAACAGTATTCTCATACAGAATCCAGAACACAGCACTGTACCAACTGCGAGGGAGAACATCAGCTCTATCCCAGCTGAAACCAGGACACTGTTCTAAATATAACCTTTTGTTTCAAATAATAGAGAAAATAGGAAATAGAGAAAAATTTAGAAGTATTCTGACAATAAAGATGCTTGGACACGCAGTATTTCTGTGTGCAGAAAGTATGTTTTGAGTTAACTATGCATGTTTTTGATGCAATCTTCAGTGTATACTGAATGTACATATATATGTCTTCATGAGATCCTCAATGTGTATTAGTCTGTGCTTAACCACTATCATAGACAGATCGCTTTTGAGGAGCAATTTTGCAGTAAATTCCCCTCTCCAATTTGCTTTTCAGTGTTGCTGTATGTCCGAAAAGAGTCAGAGGAAGTCTTTGATGCACTAATGTTAAAGACACCGTCTCTGAAAGGTCTAATGGAAGCAGTAAGTAAGAAGGCTGTTTTATAGTTTTTGCCTCCAGTTTGAGAAAAAGCGAGTGTAGTCTCCAGTTACTCAGTCCTTATACCCTGAACAGTCACAGGAGCTAGTCTCTCAATCACAGCTTGTGTCTACATATTCCTGCTCTTCTGGATAAGCAGCATAAGGCTGATTTCCTTTCAATAACATGGAAATTAATGTAAATAATGCTTTGATTCATTATTAAGGGACTCCAGAAACCTTTTCTCTTAAATACTTTACCCCACATCTGTGGGGTCAGGGTGTAAGAAGGTCTTTCTCAGCCTTCCTGAAAATCCAGGTGTCAAGCTTGATTGGATACCCGAGATAGTCCCAACATGACAGGTGCTGCTGGAGAGAGTGCCTGCTAGGCTTGCTTCATATGCTGGCTCTGCTTTGGCCAAGCTGCGGAAGCAGCTGTGTAGGTCTTTTCCTACTTTTGTCAAAACATGGTCAACAGGCCGGCACTGTGGATACCCCTCACGTCAGAGAGAGTAGTTTCATTAGAAGATGGAGTGATTTCCAGCATGCGTTCAGTGGCTTGGGTTTATTTCAGCCTTTCAAAACCTTGTTTGGGGGCCTCCCCTCCCCCTTCATAACCTGCTTATGAAGGGCTCCAAGTCCTGGCTTCTGACTGTGCTTGAGGGGTTTTATATATCTGTGCACGCGTGCATGAAATTGCTTTCTGGCACTTGACTTCCAAAATAGCCTTCTACTACCCCTGCTGCTGCAGTGCTGCAAAGGAAATACAGAGCTTAACTCCAAGGAATGGTGTAATGTTTGGCATGAGCTCAGAACTGACGTTTTTGGCTGTCTCTTTCTGTGACTAATGCCTCGTCAGTGCTCAGAGATGGAGGCTTTGGGGCTGTACTGCCAGGTCTTGCCATTAGCTTTGGGACCCAGAGATGGTTCTGTAACCTGAAGCTCACTCCTGGCTGTGGAGCTTTGCCAGCGCAGGCAGGCTGGAGGTGGGGGCTAATGGGGAGGGGGGTTGAAGGCTGTGAAGTCCTCCATTACCTCACGGTCCTGAAGTGAAGCTGCACCTTTGTTCTTTCACTTGGACTTGTTAAAGCAAGGAAGCCAGAGCTCAAAACTGTAGCTTGGAGGAAACCCCTTGTGCTTCTGCATCCTGAAATGACATATTGGTTTGGTACTTGCAGTTTTGCAATTTGCCAAAGTAAACCAGGCTTGGGTTACTGACCTCGTGACTTTCTGGAGGTTTGTACGGTGATTTGGCGTGGCTGGTGGCTGTGGTTTCACACTGAGGTCACCCTGCTGGGTAAGGGGGACGTTTCTGATCAGCTCGTGTCCTTGGCAGGAGAGGTCTTTGCTCTGTTGCTATTTGTTTCCTGCACCAGCCACTGTGATAACTAGTTTTCTCTTGATCCCTTTGACACTGAATTTAAAAACGGCTTTTTTATATGCTAAGAGAACAGAGCCAAGAGAGGATAAGAACCAGGTTGTGGGGTGTTTTAATGCCTGGGCTTTTTGGTGTGGGGGCAAGAGGTTGCTGTATGAGAAGTCAGAGGCCAGGTTTACAACATGATTAAATTTTTTTGCATGCAAGTTGTCAAACTGCCGAGGAGGGTTTCTCATCTATAGGCACATACTATAGTTCAGGATTTAGTATTGCCTTTACAGGGCAGAGCAGTTGTTTTTGTCTGCAGACCTTTCTTGTTCCTTTTCTGTAGAATAGGAAGTGGAAGACAGTGCCAGCAGTCTCCTTGCTTTACCAACGCTTGCTTTCTTTTGTTCTAGATATCTGACAAGTATGATGTTCCTTTTGATAAAATAGGAAAAATCTTCAAAAAATGTAAAAAAGGGTAAGTATGTACATATGCAGCAACTATCTGAGAATATGAACTCCTTTTTTCAAACCTGTAGGCGAATCTGCTTTATAATTCCTCCATGCACTTGCACGTATGCAAATGCCATTTGCAGATGTGTGTGTGCATGCAACACACTGATCCTGTCCCAGTGTCAATCCTAGAGCAGAAGACCAGAAGGGTCCTACAGAATTATGTAGTCTGGCTTCCTGGGTAGATACAAGTCAGGGAACCTCCCCGAGTTAATTGCTGTTTGAAGGAGAGTTGATCATGTCAGAAGAATAGTAGTTCAGTTCGTTTAAAGTGTTCATCACTCCCAGTGATGAATAACCTACTTGGACCCATGTTAAATTGTTCCAGCGGTTACCTGTACTTGCTATGTGTACATTTAGCTACAATTACTAAACCTGGTTGTCTTTGTGTGTGCTAAATTGAAGAGAGCTTTACTTGTGACAGACCAATTCCCCGCAGAGGCCACGGTCCACAGTCCTTTTATTTTGTAACGTAAATAATTGAGTTCCTGAACATGTCTGCTTTTGATTTTTCCTTTTAATCTCTCAGTAATTTTCTTGGTGTTTTTTTCTCTAAAGTTACTTTGGTGCCTTAGTCCCTTCCCCAAAGCCCCTCTGGCTGGAAAAGTATGTCCTTTAATCGCTTTTGGAATGTAGTTTTAAGGCTTGTGCTTTCATAGCAGAATTAACCCACCAGAATAACTGGAAGAGGTTTGAACCGATGATCGCTAAACCACTGCTAAGGACAGCTTTGTGGGTGCGTGCACACGGGCACACTCACGTGCCTGTGTTCACACAGACACACGGGTATTGACTGTTGCAGCAAATGAAGTGGCCAGGCATGGCTGTCTCTGCCCTTGGAGCTCTGTAGGGTCTTGTGCTGATTGTCTGTAGCTGTCAAACAAACCAGTTCAGAGCCTCAGGGTTGCCCAAGCGTCTGCAGCTTCGGAAGGATTTCTGTTAGTTCTGAGATCTCCCTCCTTCCCCGGTCCAAGAGCCAAGGCTTAACCCTTTCCTTCAGATCCTAGAGGCGCAGCCGCGAGCCTTGATGGCGGGTTTGGGTAAGAACAGCTGGATTGGCTGTAGGCAGCAACGGGTCGGAGATAGGGGAGCAGGGCTCTTGCATTACCTTTGGACAGTCCAGGCTCTCTGAGACTTGAGGGCACCTTTGCTGTCTTTGGCATTTAGAACTGTAATATTTCCCTGACTTATTTTTCCAGAATTCTGGTCAACATGGACGATAACATTGTGAAACACTATTCTAATGAAGATACCTTCCAGTTGCAGATTGAAGAAGTTGGAGGAACTTACAAGCTCACTCTCACTGAGATCTAAGATCATGGATCCTCTGTGGATTTTAAACAAAGGTCTCAAGTGAACATTTTCCCATAATTTTGGATGTTGGGCAAAACACTAATCGCCTTCTCCAGAAGAAAGCCAGGTGTTGACTTGTTCTGGGGAGCAGAGCAGTGTTTTTGCTTAATACATTTGTGTTTCTGTTCTTTCCAAAGAACGTTGTAATGCTCATAACCTTATTTGCACTTGAAATGAGCGAGCAAAGATCGACGATTAAATAGAGAGCATGTATAAAACACTAGTAAATACGGGAGGGGAAAACTCCTGGAAGGTGGCCTTTTAGAGTGGTGATATCTTATTTATCTAGTCAGTATCCATGTTTGAGCCCGTTATCAGCTAATACCATTTTATTGGACTGTTTTCTGCTAGGTAGAGCTGCAAAACTACTAATTGATACTAGTAGGAATTGCGTGCAGGTTGGAGAAAAGTCTTTACAATGTTTACTCTTGAACAGGGCAGACTGTTGAAATCACTTGTGTCATTTGGGGGGGGGAATGTAACACTGCCTTGCTTATGAAGAACTCGCCTTAGTAACTGTGTGAACTCTCATCAGATGAAGCTACATTGTATATAAGTGCAATATATTTTTGAAGGTTTGTAAATGTGTACATACAAGTGATATATAATATATATAAAATACGGTGTTCCGTATATATGGTGAATATATGCAATGAAGCCCATCGAAAAAGATGCCATATCCTGAGAAAAACAGGTATTTAACGTAGCTATTTAAAAACAGACAAACCCTTAACACGCACCAAAGGTGAGCACACGTTTGTATGTTGATAGAAGGCACAAGAGACCTGCTCGTTCAACATGGATCTTCCTGCGGGAAGGAAAAAGGTACCAGCTCCCTCCTAAAGCCTCCTGCACAGCCAGGCCGTGGCAGTCCTGGCTTCTCATGTGAACTGCCAGTTTGAGCCCCAAAATGGCTGCGTACTGCTGCCCTGGGAGGTGATTTGGACCACGTCTGAGAGCTGAGTCCCAAGAGGAGCTGAACAGATGCAGTTTCCCCGAAATCTCACTTCTGGGGGTCAGGAAGAAGGTCTCTTGGAGGGTGGATTATTTTTTTTTTTTTTCCGTAGCAATGTACTGAAGGCTCGGGTGGATGCTGCCTGCAACAGCAGCTCAGGCTGGATGAGCCCGTGGGTCGGAGCCAGCTTGCAAGGTCCTAGGGTGTTGACAACTGGAAGTGCACAGGCAAGGCTTTTGAGAGGAAGGTGACATCCTGGCGCTGCTGGCCAAGCGTCAGCGGGGACTTGGGAGCTGCAAGCAGGTGAAACGTTCCTGGGGTGCCTATATCGCCGGGCAGTGGCAGCTGTCCTGAGCCTGGCCCCAGCTGGGAGTGCCAAACACCTCCAAAAAATGCTGCTCTGCAGTAGGCTGTACGGTATCTACTCACCGTGTGCATGTGCTTATGAAGGAAAGTCGCCCTCTGGTTAGTAGCAAGTGAGAGAGGAACATTTAAACAGCAGCGTTTGGCTCTAAGGGAAAAACCTGCATTGTGGAGTGAGCAGATAACCATGGATACCAGGTCTGGTGTCACTTAGTGCTTTTCTTAGGGATCTGGGTGATGAAAGAGAGATTTATAAAGTTTTCAGACAGCACGCAGCTGGGAAGAGCTGCACGTGCCTCACCTAGGACATTGCAGATCAATCTGGATAGGCTGGAGAAATAGCCTGGAAAAGTAGGATATGATTCTACCTAATGGTTAACGATTCTACTTAACGGTTAAACAAATCCTAACCGAATGCTGTTCGGCTGTGTGGTGCTGCTGTTGGGAAGAGGGAGGCAAATGCCATGTTGAGTTGGTAGACAGGAGCATGGCCTGCAAGACACAGGAGATGGGCCTTTTGCTGCTCTTGGCGTGGCCGAGGCCGCGGCTGGAGCGCCAGGCCGGGGACACCGCCTGCTCCTGCACCCCGGAGGAGCTGCCTGGTTGAGGGGTCACCTTCAGAAGGGAAGGTTTTGGGGGGGGAGCAGCCTCCCAGGACGTGGGAGCGTCCTCCCGGCCCATCGCAAGCACGAGGAGAAGCGGTGGGTGTAAATGGCAGAAATTGAGGCTGGGTGTCGGGGCAGTTTTCTCCAGGGAGGCGGTGGAGGTCTTCAGGCCGGGCAAAGGGACCTCTGGGCTGGCCCAACACAGAGTTGGTTCTCCCTTGGTGCTGAGACTAGGTGACCACTTGAAGTCCTTCCCCACCGTATTTTTTTTTTTTTTTAATGATTTATGTGAAATATGGTATTTTGGGATTTGTGTTCAGACCAATCCTGTGCTGGTTCATAGACCGCTCCATTCCCCCCCTCCCTCCCTCCTCCTCCTCCTCCTCCTCCTCCTCCACGGACGTGCTCCCCTCTCGGCTCCGTGGCGGGTGAACCCGGTGTGGGTGCAGCCACGGCTGCGGGCCTGGGGACGGGCCCCTGGGCCTGGGGCTGCGGGGGGAGAGACCCGTGTGTGGGACAGGGCGGTGCTGGAGGGACTGGGCCCACACCGGCCCCCCCCCCCCCGGGCAGGACTCCACTGCCTGCCGAGCAGCCCCGGGGCGCGTCCCCAGCCAGGCCAGCCCTGCTTGGGCTTCCCCTCAGCCCTCACGGGAGCAACGGTACTATGGCAAGGGAATTTTTTTTTTTTTTTTTTTTTAAAACCTGATATATAGAATACATATATATATTTACACATTTTTATTGAACATTGAAGTTTTATTACAGAAACTCAGTCTAGGGTCAGGGATGTAGTTTTAGAGTCTTCATAGAGGTAAGATTGATATGAATGTTATTTCTTTTTACTGCTTAATGAAGTATGTGAACTAAATCTGACGATTGTTTTCCACTCCAAGATATTCTGGGACACGGGTCTTGTAACAGTAGCAGCAATGTCATGTATGTTTTATGAAACTGATTTTTTTTTTTTTCTGTTTTGCCTGCTGTTTTTTAATTGAAAATGTATTTTAAACCAAGCTATTAAATTTTATATGTTCATTTCTAATGATGAGTCTTTTACATAGCAAACACATCTGCTCTTACACCTTTATTTTTCCTTTGAGAGGGGAATCTATAAAACAAAGCCCCAGTGATTGTTTTCTAGTTTCTCTTCTCTGCAGAAGAAAATAATCCCGATGCCAGCCGTGTGTTACTCCCGCATAAGAAGTGGTTGGTCCCCTTCTCCTTCCCTGCTTCATTTCCACTGACCTCTTTTGCTTTTGAGCGCGGGGGAGCTGCGTAGCACTTTGTTCCCGTAAGACCCTTTCCCTTGGCAGTAAAACAAACCCAAACAGCCGTCGGTAAACTCGGAGGGGTGGCAGGTCGGTGATGCCCGAGGGTCTCTGCTGGAGGCTGGACAAAAGGGGGGGGGGGGGGCACTGCCTGTGCCCTGTGGGGGGGACCCCTTGGCCGCTGCACCGCTGGGGGGGGGGGGGGGGGGGGGGAGCGGGGGGCTTGCAGCGGTGCCGGGTCCAAGGGGCTTCGTGTCACCGGCAGCCCCATCGCTGCGGGGAGGGGCTGGTGAAGCTGCAGGAGCTGGCTTTGACGTGATGGAAACGCTCGGTTAAAATCCAGGGTAATTCTGCAAAATAACCCTAACGCCGCTGTCGCTCTAGTGCCTGGGGAGCTGTTCGCCTCCTCTTTTTCACTGTCGGAAAACGCCTCGAGCTTTTGCTCTAGCTGGCCCTCCAGCCCCCGCAGCGCTTGCAGCGTGCTCCCCTGGGACACCTTCCCGCCGGCTGGGCTGGTGCCGGCGTGCCCGGGGCTCCTTGGGGAGCAGCCTGGCTGGCAGAAGGTTTCTGGGCTAGAAAAAGGGAACGCTTATTTATTTATTTCTAGTTCTCATACGGGCTGCGCCCACGGAGTTTGTCCCCCAGGCAGAGGGAGGTGCAGCAGGATGTGGCCCAGCAAGTCCTGGGGCGCAGCGTGGGATGCAGAAGCGTGTGTGTGTGTGTCCTGAGCCGAGTGGGTGCCGGCGGGCAGAGGCTGAGCGGGGTTTTGCCTCGGCTGCAGGGCTGCCTGCGGCCCTGGCCTGGGTCCTCTGGGCCCCAGACACCTCCCTCTGCACCAGCCCTTCTACGACGCCAGGGTATGCACCTAGAGAGTCCCTCCTCCTCCTCCTGCCGCCGCCCCGTTGGTCCTTTTCTGTTCTCTCCTGAATTTAAAGAGTGTTTTCAAGCAGTTACCTGCAGCGGGAGCATCGGTGGATGAAAGGTGAACTCCCAAAGATGCCGCTTTGAACTCCCAAGCCAGGCAGCCTTACAGGGAGATCCGTGCTACTTCCCTGGGGTATGACTCGGGGCTCTAATACCGCAAACGTTTAGTTAAGCTTTTAAGATCTGATCTCTTCTCTTATGGGAAAGCTGAATTCTGCAGCAGTCTCCAGCTTCTTGGTGGATCTTTTGTCTGTTAATTGCAAGAGCTTGTTTTCAAAGCTTTGCAAGAGCGTGGAGCTTACCTGTTCCCTTATTTGGTTTGATAGGTATTTTAGATGATTTGATTTGTTATTGCGACTAAATGATTAAATACTAGATAGTGTTTAGATGACACCTCAACTAGATGAACTGGTCTAATGAAAAAATAGGAGCTCTTATAACTCGGTTTGCTGTTTGTCCTCCGACTACCCTACCGTACCACCAGCGCTCTTCCCCGGGTACATTTGTAAAACTCACAATACTGTGTATTATTTTGACTTTTCTTCTTGGCCGGTTTCAGTAGCTGCTGTGGCCAGGGTAGCTGCGGGCTTCTTGGTGCACCTCGCAGCCTCCCGTTTGCGCAGGGCAATGCTCCTTTACCCCATCGCCCTGTTTGCCTGCGCACACAGCCTGTGGGTGGACGGCGTGCCCGCCGGCCTTAAGTGTTATTTGTTTTGCCATCTCTCCGGCGCAGCCGTCCTGCTGGGCGTCCAGCCTGCCTGTGCGTGCACGGATACAAACTGGCGTCGAGCTTGCGTGCTGCCCCTGCGGCGCTGGCTGTCTCGGGCAGCAGCCCGAGCCTGGCACTGGCCTGCGGGTCGGTCACCTCCCCTGCAGCTTGATGGGGCGGGAAGCACGAGCCGGGCTGAGGAAGGGAGCGTGGCTGAGCCTGGCAGCGCCTCTGAGGAATGAGAACGCAGGGGGGAAAAATGTTTGTACCTCTTGGGGAGTGGGGACAGCGCTGGGAGCGAGGGGTGATGGAGCATGGTGTGTGAGTGGCTGCTGCCCCCGGGCTGGAAAAGGTGGTGTAAATCGGAGTGAAATCTGGAGTGGGGGCAAACTGACGTGGCGAAAGACGGATGGCTCAAGTCCTGCGGTTCCCAAGCGCTAGCACAGAGCCCTCGTGCTGGGTTGCAGAGGGCCAGCCTGCAGCAGGCGGGTCTGGGGGGGCTCTGGCTGCCGGTCCTGCAGCCCCCCACTCCCTGGGGGAGCCCCGGCCCTCCCAACCTGTCAAGTCTGCACCTGCCATTTCTGGGACTGATGGCTTGGGGTGGGAAGAGAGCCCAGTCCTGCGGCTGGCCAGCCCAGCTGGGACCAACTTGCCCCCCGTGGCCGTGGGTGCGTGCCTGGGCCGAGCCCGGACCCCCACCTGGACCCGTGGGGACGGACCCGCTGGGCGATGCTCAGCCCTGCCCCGAGGGGTGTGGGTGCTGGCTCTGGGACAGGGGTGCAGGGATCGGCACCGGCTCTGCCGGGCAGCTGTGCCGGCAGCACCGGGGTTGTTGACAGGACGTGGTTTGGTGGTGTGTTTAATTCTGTCATTATAAGGTTTGCTTGATTTTTTTTTTTTTTTTTTTTTTTTTATCTTTTTCCCCCTTAAAGTAAATAATTACATAAGCTTTGCAAACAGTTATAAGCAAATAAAGTAAAAATGATCACTCAGGGGCCAGCTCTGCAGGCTGTGTCTCTGCGGTCTCTGCTCCATGACTCTTCTCATTTGAAATACTTTGCTTTGAGCTCCTCAGCCAGCACTGGCCAAGGGCATTCGGGGAGCAGCAGTGCTGAGCCCCCTGTCCTGTGGGTGCTGGGGCCCCAGACCAGCCCATGCTCGCCTGCTTGCTTCTGCTCTGTCATGTTTAAGAAAGAGCCCAGGCTCCAGGTGAGAAGCTGGTTGAGACTTGCTGCGTACAAAGCCTCAGGTCAGGATAACACGTGAGACAAAAGGAGACAATTATAAAAGCAGTGATGGCAAGCTGAAAAAAAAAAAAAAAAAAAAACAAAAAAACAAAACCTGTTGCTGCTTAAATCACCCCTTGCCTTACCATGGGCCTGTTCCCAAATAAGCTGGCACCTCCTGGCAGTCCTGTGCGGAGCTTTGCCTGTGAGTGACCCCCAACCTGGCCTTGGCAGGGGCTGAGCCGTGTCCGTGGGGATGCTGCATGCCCGTGGGCTTCCCGGAGCTCAGCAGGGGTGATGGTTTCAGCAAGAGAAGTCCCAATCCACCCGATCTCTGCAGAAGCACAGCTTGTCCACATTCGTCCGTATGTGCTGGGGACCGTGGTGCTGCCCCCTCCCCGGCCAGCAGCACCCTCGGGACCCCATACTGACTTCTTTTGCTTTTTCAGAGGAAAGTTTTGAGCCCTCCTTGAGGACTGCAGAGGAAATTCGGAAGAGGACTGTCATGGTTTAACCCCAGCTGCCAACTAAGCCCCATACATCCCCTCACTCACTGCCCCCAGGGTGGGATGGGGGAGAGAATCAGAAGAGTAAAAGTGAGAACCCATGGGATGAGAGAAAGACAGTTTTATAGGTAAAGCAAAAGCCATGCGCCGAAGCACAGCAAAACAAGGAATTCATTCACCCCTTCCCAGGGACAGGCAGGGGCTCAGCCATCCCCAGGACAGCCGGACACGTAACGGTGACTTGGGAAGACAAACACCATCACTCCAAACACCCCCCCTCCCCCTTCCTTCTGCTTCCCCCAGCTTTGTATACTGAGCATGACACCATACGGTGTGGGATGTCAGTTGGGGTCAGCTGTCCCAGCCATGTCCCCTCCCAGCTCCTTGTGCACCCCCAGCCCACTCGTGGGTGGGTGGGGTGAGGAGCAGCAAAGGCCTTGGCGCTGTGTCAGCGCTGCTCAGCAGTAACTAAAACATCCCTGTGTTATCAACACTGGTCTCAGCACAAATCCAAACCATAGCCCCATAGCAGCTACTGTGAAGAAAATCAACTCTACCCCAGCCAAAACCAGCACATTCTCCACCCCTTATTCCATACCATTTATGTCATGCTCAGGTCCCACCCTATCCAACAGAACCTCATTAACCACCACCCCCCTTTTCCCATCCTTCGATAACCCAGTTACTATTCCCTTAGTCTGGGGACCACCCCTGTGAAATGTTGTAAAACGTCCGTTGAGTTCATTTAGTCGGTGACTTTGGGCTCCATCTCTTAGGGTGCTCACTCAGGACAGGAGAGGTGGGGTGCTGTGTGGAGCTCCCGGGCCCCAAAGCCAGCTCGGGTCGGGGCACTGCTGCTCTCGCGCTGCTGCTTGTAAGGCTCGTCCTCCATCAGTTCAGGTGGTTCCTGCTGTAGTAATTCCTGTAACGTGCAACTCAAACCAGGGGTTGCGACAGTTGAAAGGTATTTCCGTTGCAGTCGCCACCCCTGGTCCCCGTGGGCCAGACTGTCAGGTTTAACATTGCGATGAACTCTTCTCCTTGCCCCTGCTCCGGCTTGGACTTACCCACAGACTGCAGTCCCTCGGGGCTGTACCTGCTCCAAGAAGAGCCTTATCTATGAGCCACAGTCTCTCCTGGGGTGTACCTGCTGCGGCGTGGACTTAGCCACAGCCACGGATGCTTGGAGGTGTACCTTGTCCAGCATGGACTTATCCTCGGGCCACAACCCCTTCAGCGGCGTACCTGCTGCGGCACAGACATAGCCACGGCCACAGATGCTTCGGGGTGTCCTGCTCCTGTGGGGGACTCGTCCACGGGTCACAGTCCCTCCAACTCGAGTTCACGCTGGGGTTCCAGCCCTCCCAGTACGGCAGCACCGAAACAGCCGCGGTGCCCCGGCCATCGGCCGGCCCAGGCGCGTCGCCGTCGCTGTTATCGGAACGCTCCCAGGCACAGCGGGGCAGGATGATAAGCACTGCAGCAGCAGGGCGAGCAGCGAAAGCAAAAAGCAGCCCCTAATGAACACCAGGCTCTAATACACAGAGAGGCCATCAAGCCCCATGGCAAGCACAGAAGCCTGGCAATTAATAGCTAAATATCAATAACAGCTATAAAGTCAATCTAATCAGAATCACTAAATCACTCCAATCACTCTCTTTGCTTTTTTTTTTTTTTTTTTTTTTTTTTCAGGTCCATATTCCAATTTCTAAATGCTTGGGGTTAATGATCCATCAAATTTTGCCATATTTAATTTCTTGGCAGGATTTCCCCCCCATCATCCTGCTTTGAAAATCCGCTCTCTCCAATCCTCAAGGTTTTCTTCACGCTGCATTACATCTATCCATTACCCCACTGTTGCTTTGCTCCAAAGGTACATGTCGAGGCTTTTATGAAGCGTATTTGAGCTCCCTGATGATGGCGCGGGCAGATGTAATAGAGCGTGATGTAATAGGCCATGTGGCTGCCATAAAGTGCAGAGATAGCAGGTGGAACTGTGGCCGGTGGGGACCTGGCTGGCTGCAGCGGCACTGGGATTTCATGCCCGGGTGAAAGGAGAATGAGGACCTGGCCTGAGACTGATAGAGCTGGAGAAAAAATAAGCTGTCATCTAAGCACGTCTGTCTTCGGCACTGAAATGGAAGCACAGCCCTCCAGGTTACGGTGTTCAGGCAGGGTGTTCACAGCTCAGCTTATTTCGGTCACTCTGCTTGGGAGAAGAGCAGAGGTGGTGCTTGTGGAGCAGAAGGAGCTGTGACCAGGGCTCCGTCTGACCACAAAGTTGGAAATTGCTGTGTGCGTGGGGAATGTTTTGGGGTGAAAGCAGTGTTTCTCCCCAGTCCGTGGCCTTTCCCATCCAGCAGAACTGTGAATGTTCATCCTCAGGCTGCTCTTCACAGGGTCACTGCATGGTTGAGGTTGGAAGGAACCTCTGGAGGTCATCTGGCCCAAACCCCCTGCTCAAGCAGGACCACTCAGGACCATGAGTTGTCCAGGACCATGTCCAGACAGCTTCTGAATATTTCCAAGGATGGAAACTTCACAACCACCCTGGGCAACCCGTGCCAGAGCTGCATCACCCTCCCAGTGAAAAAGTGTTTCCCGATGTTCAGAAACTCCTCCTGTGTTTCGGTTTGTGCCTCTTGCCCCGTGAAGGTGTGTGATGGGTCTCCTGGAGGAAACTATCAAGAGATCAGAGAGATGACATTGTGATTTTGTTACATGTATGAAAATAAAATGGTACGTACTGGTACCAGGGTGTCTCAGAGGGGACGGTGGAGACTCCATGATTGGGATGGTGAGAACAGCTAAGACTGAGGCTTGAGCCTAAGCAGGAGGTGAGACAAGGAAGGGTTGCACTCTTCTTCATGGGTGAGATGGGAGGCTTGAACATAGGATGCAAGGAGAGGACCAGCAGCCAGGTATTAGTGTCATAGCTCCAAGCTCAGACACTGTGCTGTGAGCCCTGCAGCGTCCTCCCAGTACACCCAACATTTTCCTGCTCCGACCACAGGGGATTTTAACTAGAGATGGGATCCACATCACAGGCATCACAGATATGCACAGAGCTCTCTTGGAGGTGAGAAGATCCTGGATCTCAGGGCTCTGCTCTGGGCAAGTCTCTTGTGCTGCTTCCCTTTTCCCTTTCCAGCTTTCCATTTCCTAGGCTAAAACATCGAGTGCTGAGGAAAGAGCTTGGTATTGAAGGGGATGTAAATGGGTTTTACTCACAAATTAAATTAAAACTGAAAAATCTGGGAGAGGAAAAAAGCAGTCCTGGAGTCAAAACATCTCAAGCAACTGTTTTGAGTGGAGTAAGCCATCAGATGTTAAACGCCTTATTCTTTATTTTGGGAACTCAATCAAAGCCAGTGTGCTTCCTCCTGGGCAGCATCCCAGCAGCACGGGATGCCCACCAAGCAGTGAGGAGGCCTTGCTGTGCCCGGGAGCTGTAAGTTACTTCTAACAGAAAGTGCAATCAAACTTTACAGGGAAGGACAGGTACTATGTAAAATCTGAGGGGACAGAAAATCTGTAGTGGGAAGAAGGTGGCTGAAGCTCCTTCAGCTTGAAAGCCCTGGGAAAATGTTGACTAGCAAAGCCCTGTGTCCTGGTTTTGGCTGGAATAAAGTTAATTTTCTTCCTAGTAACTGGTATAGCGCTGTGTTTTGGATTTAGGATGGGAATACTATTGATAGCATGCTGGTATTTTAGTTGTTGTTGTGCAGTGCTTACACTAAATCAGGGACTTTTCAGCTCCTCACACTGCCCTGCCAGCCAGTGGGCTGGGGGTGCACAAGAAGCTGGGAGGGGACACAGCTGGGACAGCTGACCCCAACTGACCTCAGGGGTATTCTATACCATATGATGTCATGCCCAGCATAGAAACTGGGAGGGAGTTGGCCTGGAGGACAGCGCCTCCAGGGTTGGCTTGGCATCGGTCAGTAGGCGGTGAGAAATTGCATTGCCCATCACCTGGTTTTGTATATACTACTACTACTACTACTATTATTATTATTATTGTTGTTGTTGTTGTTGTTGTTGTTGTTATTTTCCCTGACTTTTCTGTCCTATTAAACCGTCTTTATCTCAACCCACAAGTTTTACCTTTAATTTTTTTCCCTCGATTGTCTCCCCCATCCCACTGCTGGGGGAGGGAGTGAGCGGCTGTGTGGTGCTTAATTGCTGGCTGGGGTTAAACCACAACACCCTGTGATAGTCCAACAGGGCAGGAAAGCATAAAGTAGTTCACCTACTCAGCAGAGGAGGAAAGTCAGACCTTTGGGGATACGGGGGGATGGCAACTGGTGCATGAAATGCAGATTTTTGGCATTATACAGTCGCCTGCCTCTCCCCCCAACAGGTATGTTGGAGGGACCTAAAGAGCCTAAATAATGCTGGGGGGTTAGCTGTGGATCCTGGCTGTAAGACTCGGGGGCAGTGACGCAGCCTGAGGCCGGCAGCACCCGGGCCGGGTCCGCTGGCTGGCATCCCACAGCCCACGCCTGGCTGCTGCACCTCGCTCCCCACGGCTGCAGCTCACCCCACGCACCCCACAGCGGGGTGTGCAGATGACGGGGGCATCCCTGGACAGCACCACTCCCCCCGGGAAAGTTCTGCAACACGGGGTGCCGGCTCATTTCTCTGCTCTGTTGGCAGCAGGGAAGGATGTCCAAGGGGAAAGAAATTCAGCGTAAACAGTGTTGTCCGTACATGGGAAGGGGAAATAGCACAGCTACAAACCAGAAGAGTCCCAACCCAGAATCTGAGTCTGAGTTTATTTCACATCAGTCGTCTCATTGCATCTTAACATCCTGAAGCCCTGCAGTAGTGGAGGGGAAGTGCACACCCAACACTGACGTAAGAATTTACCGATGCTGTGAAGAAAATGCAGACTCCTTGCCCTTTTTATGTAAACAGTGTAAAACTAAGTGGGAAAGTGCCTTTGAAGGGGGGCACTGGGTTCTCCACTGTGCCAGGGGAGTAACAGCAAGTAAGTCCAAGCAAGAACCAGTTAAGAGAAAAAGCATCAAGTCATATTCAGCAGCCCAGCTTGGTGGGATACTTTATCCGAGCAGCAAGCAGGATGCGTTCTGCTTCTGAGCAAGTGGGTGGAAGAGGCTGAGTCATCTGTGACCAGCAATACCACTGGGGAAGTCTCACAA